CAACTTACTTCAAGTATATACATTAAAATTTACAGAAGTTGAAACGGCAGCTAATATAACCTCAAAAGGGGGAAACACATATGAAAATAGAACATTTTAATCATTTTAAACGATTTTCCCCGTTAACTGCACTAAAACCATGAAATAAAAACGAGTGATAATGTTTGTAGGAAATTTGTTTATAAATATCTTCAATGGTAACACCTGCAAAAACATTTTTACTTTCTAACCTAAATATCTGAATAACATACCATATTCTGTTTTAAAATCCTCAAGTCTATTTTCTACTGCATTATGTTATATGGAAGCTAAAGTCTATGCATTATCCCTGAAGTAACTTTTTTTGTTTTCATATACCATAAGATAATTATTAGGCAAACTCAATTCTTTTTTTTCTTAATTTGTAAAGAAATTTGTGTTTAATTTTTTTTTTTGTTTTTTTTTGTTTTTTAAATATTATGGCTTACTTGATAAAAAAGAAATAATTATTATTATTAATTAATTGTGAAAGTATTTTCATTTTATTCCTATATAATTTGGTTTTAATGTGTTTGCGTGCTGCTGTAATTTTGTGAATTTGTTCCTTTTATGCGAACAAAATAAAATATAATAAATAATACATATTTACAAAATAAAGATCTCTTAAAATTATTGTAAAGTTTTTTATGATTTAATAAATTTTTAATAAAGTAGTTTTTGCAACCGTTTCTCGTAAGTTATGAATACAAAACATATAAATTGTGGTAAGCAACTGGTACTTTTATACATAAATATTTATATAATTTTTTATTTGTTTAATTAACCATTTTATGTACAAAATGTACTTTTAAATATTTAAAAAAATATGTTAGCTTTTCCGTAAACACAAAAATATTTTCACACGCATACATAGAAATACACTAAATAAATGTTGGCATGTGTTAAACAATTTTTAGTAATATTTTTATATTATAAAAAATGAAATTGTTTAATTTTTATTGAAATAGATTTTTGGTATAAGTAATATTTTGTTTTATATTAATAATAAATATATATATTGTAATTGACATCTAATGTGATTGTTGCAAAATAGAGTTGGTTGATTGTTCACCCTTTTAGTTCGTCAAGGTAAAGAAAAAGAAGTTCATCGCTTCTGCCATAGAGCGAAATTTGATGTGCCTACAACATATTCACATCACATACTACCAACATTTTAATTTTAATAGGAACCAGCGTAAGATTTCAAAATAGAAGTAGCGATGTCAGCTGAATAGATCTTTTGAACGAATAACATTGATGTATATAAATTTATACATATCAAACATATAGTAGCAAATGCTTATTATTAGTAGAAAGGACTTATCATATATATTGTCCTATCTCTGAAGAGAGTCTGCCAAGCTAATGCGAGCAATTTAAAACCAATATCAAGCCTAACAATATTTTTTGATTAAAAATCCAACACATTCGATTTAATGAAAACCGCATAAAAGTACGATCCTATTTGAACCTCGTGTTTCCAAATATCGCGACTTCATACAAAAGTTCTCCTGTATATCGAAATTCGAGTTTTATTTCTTGACTAATTTCATATCTATGACTTCTTCGAAGGCATAAGTAACTGTCTTTCACGTCTAACATTTATAATGTAAATACAGTAAGGCGATTTAGCTTTTTCCTCTTGTATATAGAGTGCCAAAGTATTTGTCGATGTTATTAAGTCAAAGAACAGATGTGATATAGTAAATATTTGGTATGCAATGGATTAATTCCTGGAAAAAATCTAGCTTGATATAGACCAATAATTTGACTTTCTGTATGTTTGTTTTAGATGTTTGGAAGTTTATTTGACCTTTTCTTCACGGCTGGATGTTATACCAAATATTTGTAGAATATTTGACAACTATGTCTTGTGGTTGTCATCTACGCGGGGGGCATTCATCTTTAAAACTTTGAATTCACTATGACTTCGTTTAATTTAAAAATATTACTTCAATACTGTTGAATATACTAGAATATACTAATAATTACTAAAAATGTGGATCAGATATTATATGCTATTAGTACCAAACTATAATGGCCCACACATTTTAATATTTATTTTTATTTTATAAAATAAACTAAATATTTGTAATTTTTGTTCTTTAACTATTTATTATTATCTGTATATGAAATCAAAAAGATGTTATAATTAACATCAGAAGCTCCTAGTCAGAAACTCCTATTAAGTACGCATATGCATTTTCCTAAAATGGATGAAACATATTAAATTCTTTGTTATTAATTTTGTCAAGTTAAAAGATATGGAAAATACATATACAAATACAGTGTTGCACTGTGATAAATCTGTGTTGCTGTTCAGCTTTGATCTGACCTAAGAGCATCTGCGTTATCACGATGAACCCGAAAAAAAATGAATAAATATCTATTCCTCCATTTGTTTCGGTTGGCGTTAGATTAGGCGTTAGATTAGACAACAGTCGTATTATATGCGCAGTGTTCTATACCATTGTGAGTCCTTTTCACTATTCTATTAAATTTACTACTCTAAATAACAAGCTTACTGTCTGCCTGTGTTGTAATAGTTTCGAATAATAAAGCGAATATTTAAATTTTAAATTAGATAAAAGTTGTAGGGTTCTCTTATCTCATTTACCAGTGGTAAGTCCTAATCACTGAAATCTTATAAACTGTTATGATATCCCCAAATTTCCCAGTTAAAAAAAAACCAATATTAAATTAGTTTTTTACCAACTTTTCGCCTACCAATAATAATTAACTTAATTTTCGAACTTCACATCAGAACCTATATAGGTCGATATCACACTCATCCAGTATTGAAAGGAAGAAAGAAGTTCATTTTTTATATTTTATCAATATTTATCAATATTTTTGTTTTCACGCTTATTAAAAATTAATCACCGCAGCACCAACAGTAGTTCAAACTTAAAAAAAAATATTCAATACTATAAGAAAATTAAAGTTGCAATAAAGAGACATCATCAAATTTTTCTCCATTCAATTTAATTTCTATATTTTGAGCCAATGGCGAATGAGTATTTGATGAGATAGTCTTGTGCGTTGAATTGGCTTTTTGCGCTGTAAAGAATGCAATTTTTTTTTGGAATGCTATAATTTGAATATGATCGAGAAAAAATTGATGATCCTCTACTCCTCTAATTTGGAAATGTTATAGAATACGAAAAATTTTGCAAAATCGAAGCAGAAACGTAGTGTGCATCTAATACAAATAAGTTTTTTTACAATTTGTCATTAATAAATTTATTTATATTATCATATTATGTAATTGTTCTTGTGTGTACATATTATTAAATATAATTATATATTTAATAAAATCTATTATATAAATATTGCATTTTGGCATTTAAATATTATTTTTCTTTTTTCGTTTTTTTCTTTCTTCTTCATAAAATATTAAAAATATATTTAAAAACCATTAAATAAATACATATTTTATATATGTGGCAACTACATACATATAATAACTGTAAATGTATATGCATAAATAACTGTATTATGGGTTGTGTTTTTTACTACTACCACTACTACTACTTGTACTACTACTATTTGATTCAACTACTGCATTTTGATACAACAAAAATACTTTTTTTTGCAAAAAAAAATCAATATAAACCGTATTTTGACCTAAATGCAAAAAATTAAAAATTAAAAATTAAATAACTTAATAAAAAAAAAAACAGCGATGTACAAACAAATAATCAAAATAAATATAATAACAGTAACGGAAGTTGTCCCCATTTAAGCAAAGAGAATCACTATAATTATAATCACAACCATAATCACCGCCATAATCACCAACACCATTATCAGCATACACACCATGCATCCTCTGCTGTCTCAACCTCACAACCTGCCAACACAAATAATGCTTCTTTGTTGACGGTTTCAAATATATTACACTTTCCCAACCATAGCCCCAATCCACCACCAAGCTCACCACTTTGTGATTTATCCAATATATCACCATTATCCCCTAACTCTGCTAATATCAATACGATCAGCAATAGCTCAACAAAACCAACTAATATAAAAATGTCCGCCCTATTATCTCCCAGTTTACGCATATCCCTTCCCAATATATCACCTAATACACAGAACATACGTTATCAACAAAATGTACAGACTTCACATTTCAATCATAATCCAAATCAATATCACAACCATACAACTCATAACTCTCATATGAGTCCAAACACTCATAACTACTATCCTCACAACAATTCATATGCTCATAATCAGCATAACCATAACCATAGCCATAACCATAACCATAACCATCACCACCAAACTAATCACCAATCCCTCCCGCTAACAAATTCAAATTCAACAACTTCAAACCAAACAACAACAACTCCAACAACAAATAGTAATATAACTGATGTGAATGTAAATTCTTGCACTGACTCAATACCCCAACATGCGCAATCAACTTTAACACCACCACCAACAACAACAACAACAATATCACCACAACAAATGCAACAACATCAACAACAACGACGCCAATTATTACAACGTTTTCAACAACACAACCATCAATCGCATCAACAACAACGTTTGACAATGTCTTCCAATGCAACCACGACATTAATGTCGACTTCAATGTCGTCGTCTCCAAATCTGCCTACGAATGGAAATCTAAATAATAAAACAACAACAATTTTAAATGTACCTGCAACAACAACACCAACAACAATGAACACATCATTGTTGTCGTCTTCGTCATCGTCATCGTCCTTATCTGTGTCGTCTTCGTCCTCTGTACCAATTCGTACAACAAATGCACCAATGTCTAATGTAATAAATGCTACTGATAATTTATTGATGGCAACTGCAACAACAAATGTACCACACACCGAAAATTATACGACTGAATATTTAAATAATAACGTTAATAATCACAATAATCACAATAATCACAATAATAATAATAATAATAAAAATTCTAAAAACAATATTACACTAAATAATTTTATTAGTAATGGGAATAATCACGGTGGTCATCATCAGCAATCACAATTTCATCAACAACAAAGAGGCCAACAACATCAACAGTACAACAACAATAATGGACGTGGAGTTTTGAATAGCAACTCTCATAGTGGTGGTGGTGATTATTACCGTAGAAACCTAATTAATATACCGACTAGCAACAATAATAATAATGGGTTAATGTCTCATCGTGGTGGAGGTGATTACCACAATAATAATAATAATCACCACTATCAGTATATAGACCATCACGGACATAACCGCCGTCACAATAACGTAACCAGCTCAGGGTCTTACGAAAGAAATCATAATGGCAATAATAATTTGGTGAGTGTGAGTGATTTATAAATAAATATTTATATTAACCTGTTAGTTCTCTCTCTCTCTCCTCTAATAATAATTGTTAGTTTTAAATTTCTTAATAAAATAAAATTTACTAAAACTATTATTATGCATAGAATTTTGAAAGCCAAAATTATTCCCGTAATAACGAATTACATGTCGATACTCGTGGCGAACGTGGAAGTCTTGACATAAACAATGCCGGTTATAATGGTGCACGAGGTGGAAATGGTTTCTCACGTCCTAATAATAACAACTACCACCATAATCAAAATCATTCTTATAATAGTACAACGGTATCAGCTTCCACGACATCTTTGACGGGTGCTGCTGGTTTTAGTGACGGCCCTTCTGGCTCTGGTTTGTCCGGCTCAACTACATCATTAAATGGTCCTAAATCGGATAGTCCCTCACGTAAGCGACGTCGCATGTCGGCACGTTTACCGAGCCAGTCGCCTCCAGCAATTTGGGAGCAACGACGTTCCCCCAGAAACTTGGTATATCACCAAATTACATTTTTCTAATGTAATAAATGTTATTGTTTATTATTGTTTTTTTTGCAGCTACAGCAGGGTAGTCCACCTATACGTCGACCACGATACCGTGATGGTGGCGGTCCCTTGCCACCGACTGTTAATTATTACAATAACAATCATCATCATCACAATCATCACCAAAACTTCGCTCATACTAATCAACAATCCTACCTCCAACCTAATAATCATCAACAAACTGGTCAACAACAACAGCAATCAGCAATTCGTTCTCCTTGGGATCCGTTGCAAACAACTTCTGCAGCAGCTAGCGCTAGTGCAGCGACACCATCAGTAGGTACGCTTATACCGCAGACTGCGTCAGTTGTTCCCACTCATCACCATCCACAAGCAACAACTGGACCACCTGCAATGATGGTTGATATAAATCAGGTACCAGTAAGTCTGCCTTTGCGTCATGCTGAACCAATATGGGCGTCAATTTGCACCTATCCAGCTCCTCCTCAGCCACGCCTAGGACCTTGTCATTTACATAGCATTTATACACCATCGTTTGCGTCACAACCTTGCAATTCGCACCCTCATTTTAATTCACCGCAATTCGCGGCTGCATCAACTAACTTTACCACCGCTGCAGGTCCACCGTTGCAACTGCAACAAGCTCAACAACAGGCTGCTGCCGTTGCAGTTGCACAACAACAGCAATCACAACAGACCGCCGCAATTGTGGCAGCTGCAACAGCTGCGGCTACCGCTGCCGCCGCTGCCGCTAATTATCAACAACATGCAGCGCATTTAACTCAACAACAGCGCACAGATGCGGCCGCTGCTGCTGCTGTTGCCGGTCTATCATTAGAACCAACTGGTGCTCATCATTTGGATGGCGTTCATCAAGGTGCTAATACACAAGCGCAACAAACAGCACACAACCAATTACATGCTGCACCAATACATATTACTCCAATGTCTGCAGCAGCTGCTGCGCATTTACATTCCTCTGCTGCAGCTGCAGCCCATGCAGCACAATTGTCACAATTTACAGCTGCGATCATTTCAACAGAGGTGAGTAAAATACACTTAATACTCATATGTAAAATTTTTGAAATATATTTAATCGAATGCATAAATGTTTTATTTATTTATTTATTTATTTATTTATTTATGTTAGCGTCCACCATTCGCTTCTCGCCGTTTTGCAAGGCTTTGGCCACCAAATCATCCACATGCTCCACATCGTCAAGTATTGTCACAACAAGGAACTCCTGTTCAAATATCAACTGGCATTATTAATTCTGGATTTTTGCTTAATTTCCTGTAAATATTAATGAACGAACTGCTTTAATTAAGAACTAAATTATATCTATTCATTTATAGTGCTATGTTTCCGTTATCACCTTATAACCAGCATGAACTTAACTCACCAGACTCAACTGAAACCGAGAATTATGAAGCTTTGCTTAGTTTGGCTGAACGATTAGGCGAGGCTAAGCCTCGCGGATTGGCGCGTACAGAAATCGACCAATTGCCAAATTATAAATACAATCCTGAAACCCACAATGGTAAATATTACTCCTTAGATTAAAAAGTAACCATAGTAGCCTTGGAAGCCATAATTATTGTTACTCGGCTTAAAATCAAAATTAGTCATGAGATACTTTATATAGGAAAAGGGGAAAAAATTGTGGGAATTGTGAGAGAAAATATAAAGTAAAATTTTGCCCCATCAATGGGGCTATGGACATCGAAACCTGTTGATTTCATCTTTATATTCTTTAATTGAAATATTGTATATTATTGATACACTTCATTGATTATAAAGGGTGCCTAAAGTTAGGCACCTTAAAAATACCAATTAATAATAGTTTGACTAAAGTTTTGGACTAATGAAAGGTGTGTGTGTGGTTATTATTCACTTTCTTCGATCGATTTTAACGCTTTTGTAAAAATGCTTTGCCTCTATGAATGGAAAGCGTTTTATGATGGCTACTGTAGATACAATAATACCGCTTCTAATTGTTCCAATTATATAATATTTTGACAGTACACCAGTGAAGTACTGGTGCTCTCAAGGAGAGGATAGATACGCGAAGAATGAATCTCCAAAAGGAAGGATACACAACACTTAACTTAACTTCCATCAAATCCGTGTATAGAATAAAGAAGTAGAATTTTTTATTAATTTATTTATTTATATTTTTTTTTGTTTTTGTAATATATACAACTAGGAATAGGCATTTTATAAATAAAATCTAATGTTTTCTTAATTAATTTTTAATCTTTTACAGGCGATCAAACATCTTGCGTGGTTTGTATGTGTGAATTCGAATTACGTCAAGTATTGCGTGTGTTGCCATGTTCACATGAATTTCATGCCAAATGTGTTGACAAATGGCTGCGGGTAAGCCAGTCGTTTTTACAGTATTATATAAGGATGTCTAACTCAAAAGCCATGGATGTGACTAATAAAAGAACACATAAAGAGGATGTAAACAGTCTGTATACAGTTTCTATCCGTTGTCTACTTATTCCAATTGCATTAGCAAGGTGAAGTAACTGATTCAAATGACGAAGCGAAAATCATATGAACATGCATGAATTGAAAATAATAAGATCGTTTTTAGCAAATCTTTATGTGATCTGTATGGATAGAAATATAGATAGAATAGATAGAAAATGTATACAGACTGAGTTAGACATCTCTTGTATGGAACATATAAACAAATAACAACAAATTAATATAAATAATAATATTTAAATAATATTTTTTTATATTTTTTAGTCTAATCGCACCTGCCCTATATGTCGTGGCAACGCTTCTGACTACTTCGAGTCGGCAGATATACAGCAACCACATTCACAGCAGATCAGCGGTGGTAATCAAATACAATCAGGCACGCAAACCACGCCCACTACAGTTAATGTTGCCGTCGCTGGTACCTCAACTACAGCAGCTACACAAACCCAGCCAACTGCCGCAGCACAAATGCAGCAACAGCAAATTCAAACAACACAAGCTCATTGAATCAAAACATTTATATATTTTTATATTTTGACGTCCAAATTTAAAGTACTAATAGCTTATTATTTTATAATTGAAATGACTACGCACCCACATGGCAAGCAACATTAAGATATTTTCCAAATTACAAAGTAGTATTCAACTACTCACCTATAAAATTAATTGTAATTCAAATTCACTTTCTAAATGATGTGCTCTGTTTTAAAGGAGTTAAAATTCTATGATTATTCAGACGAAAACATTTCTTACATATTTATATACACAAAATTACAAGTACTAGCTATTCGCTGGTATATAAAAATTTTAATATTTTTATATAAATTTATATTAATTGACAAACATATATTGCTCTTCACGGTTTTATAAAATCAAACGACGTTCACAAAATTTATTATAACTTTGTGTATTTAATAATATTATAATAGAAAATTATTAAAAATATCAACACATATACAATTACTATATATAAATTATTTGTTTTGTGCTTTGTTTTTTTTTATATCAAATATATCTTCATATTATTTAGTGTGTCATTTTATAACAATGTTATAGTGTTAAAGCATAGACCAGTGTAATCTGTTATGTGGATTTATTCCACATATTTCTCAAAGTAAGTTTTGTCTTACTTTGTATTAAAACAAGTAAAATGCAAAGCTCAATATCACGCTACACTCTTTCAAGTGAACTGACGCTAACTTACTGTTTATGCTGATTCAGCTATGATCAGTATAGTCAATCTGCACACATGAACAGTGTTGCGCCTATGGGTCCTCTTATAGGGATCAACTTAGATACGACAAACACCACCACACTTATCTTAAGAATGCAAATCTCAGCATAGTTGGCTTGGTTTGGTTAGCTTTTGCCTAACTCTTTAAATATAGTTCGATTCAAGCCAACAAACAAACTGGTCGTAGTTTCAGTGTATAATAAAGATCTTTTATGCTATATATTTCTTAATATTTACAGTATATGTTCTTACATAAAATCTACGTGGTTCAATTCTATGTTTATAAGAAGAAATATGAATTCCCAAAAAAATGTTTCCTTTTCACAAAAAACAAAAACAAATTAAAAGTTATTTTAAACATTATAATACTTGACAAAATTATTTATATATAGATAAGTTTTTATGTTTTATAATAACTGCCGTAGAAAACACCAAATAAATATGTGTGTGTATTATCACAAGTATTTAGCAATACATAGCAATAGTGAAGCCTTTATACATAGTATTTAATAAAAATACAAATAGTAAGATAATAATGTTTGTAAAAATTTTTTTTCATGCACATAAATTTAATAATATTATACTATAAAACGAATTGCTTGAAATGTTTAAAATAATATCCTACCGTTTAAAGCAGTTTACAAGTTAATATTACTTTACCCCTCCTTTAACTACTATTTGTAGTAGTTGTTAATATATGTTGCTGCTTACTTATCTACATAAAAATCTATAAAAAAATTAAAGTTATATATGCATTAAAAATTTAAAATGTATTTCTTTTGTGCATTTATACATAAGTAACAATAAAACTTATAGCACAGTGATATGTATGTACTAATTTTGAGAATTATTATTACCAGGACATTTTCTTTAAAGATTAGTTTTTTTCTACTATATAGGTATATAGGTTTTCTTTTGTTTTATCCAAGACATTCCATTCGTTATGTTTCATTTGATTTTCTATGATTAAACTTATTATTATACGTAGCTTAAGATGAGCTTTACTTGTAGCAATTAATCTAAACTTAATTAACTGGCAGTATAATTATTAATCCAATTACTAATCCAACTTCAAATATCAATTTTTCTGATATATACATATAATAATTATAATTGGAGAAGTAAGTTTGGCTGGAGAGAGAAGTAATATCAGAAAGGTCAAAAAAGTGACAATGTATTTCTTTGCCATTTTGCCATTAAATAAATTAAGAAAAAATTTAAGAAGTTTACTTCTCATTTTTTTATTATACTAAATTACTAAATAGTAATATAAATTGCTCAAATTATTTTGATTTCATTACTACTTTTATTCTGCAATATTCAATATTGTTATATTTTTCCCGTTCATATTTTATAAAGCACCTATAAACTACAAGATTTTAACAGAAAAGTTCGTAAATCGAAATGAAACATTTTGTTAACATTTAAATATACATATTTACTTTGTCTTTAATTAATAGCTAATAATAATTATTATAGTGGGAAACAGAATAAAATAATTCTCATTGATTTAAGTAAGTTGAGAAGGGGGATTTATTTTTACTTCTTCGATGATAAATATTAAAAAGAAATCATAAATTGTAAAACAAAAATTTTAAAAATTATAAACAATATCTCTAAATGTGTAGCATTTTATTTTTTATTTATTTTTTTTTCTTTGTATTGAATTGTTGATGTATATGGGAGCTCTACGAACACCCATAATAATAATAAGCACTTTAGTTTCTTCAATTCTCAAACTATAACAAAGCAAACCAAAATCAATTCAAAATCTAAAACCAACAAATATGTAAACCTAAAAGCAATCTTTATAAACGACTAGACGACGAAAATCATAGATACTATAAAATTAATAAAAATTATTTTTAACTGAAAGAATATAAATTATTACTATAAATTTTAGTAATTAGTATGAAATACGATAAAATTTAAATAAAAACATACATATAGATTAAAAATATATATTTACATTTCTTATGTGTGTGTTTTTTGTGCGTGTCTATTTATGTATACAAATTAATACATACATACATATATATATACCATATATAAATATTAAATTAGAAGGTCACCATTGAAAAGCTTTTTACATATACTATATATTACTTCCAAAAAAAAAAGCGGAACATTATTTCTCAGTTAAAAACAAAATAAATAAATAATTATAATTAAAAATTGCCAAGCTCTAAGATTATACATATATTTAACTCTATATAAGCAATTTAAAATTTATATTTAATGACAACAAATAGTTAACTTGAAAAAGGTTTTAATTTGTACATTTTTTTAAACTCAAATGAAAACTTGCAAACAGAAATAGTACCAAAAAAAATATATATAACATAAACCTTAATATATAGAAATATATATATGACAATTCATGAGTTAAAATATATGATACTGATATATACATAAATGAATAAGCAAACAAGATATAAAATTCAAATATTCTATAAAAGAAAACAATTTAAAATTTTTGCCTTTAAAAAAGCTCTTGTGTTAGCAACTTATTTGTATGTATGTAAAAATTATTAATAATTAATGTCAAAAATGTATTAAAAAACATTAACAAAAAATATGTAAACACAAAAAACCTCATGTGACTTCTGATTTTCCTTTTTAGCTTATTGTGCCAGAATTAATCAACAATAATTAAAACACTTAACAAGAAAAGGTACTTTAAATGTCTTAACTTTAATAGTTGTATAATAGAAATAAATACCAAATATATATATCAATTAATATTAAAATAAACAAAAAAAAAACAATAAAAACGAGAACAAAAAACAATACAATAATATTATAGTTTATATATACATACATATACATTTAAAATTCACAAATTAAAAATTATATATATATATATAGACGTATAAATAAAAATAAATGTGTATAAAACAAAAACAATTGAATGAAATTGATTCCTGCCCTCCAAAATATTTGCAATTTTAAGAGAAACAGAAATTTAAACTTTAACATTTTTCTAGTTAAAATAAGAATATATAAAATTAAATAAAAACTATAAAATAATAAAAACAAATAAAACAACCAAAAAAAAAATTTATAATATTTAAATTATTATATATTTAAACATATAATTATAGATTACTTATAGTTTATATAAAGCAAAAAATAGTATTTTTAGAATTATTCACCTTATTAATGTGCATTTTATGAAAAAGAAATAATTATTCAATTAATTAAAAAAGCCGAAAAAAAAAGCAAAAAATAAAACCGAAATGATAGACTTTAACCAACCTATAGATTTCTAGCAATGATTTGTTGCTATGTGTGTAAGATAAATAAAAATAACTGCAACCTAAGCAGTCGAAATCTGTTGTCGTGATATATGTTATCTATTAAAATAATAATACGAAGTGTTTTTGCTGCATTGACGTTTAGCCCAGCTTGAAGTGAGGAGCTACATAAATAACTACAAGTACCAACCAACTAAAAACCAAAACGCAATAGATATTTGTGTTATATCTTTATCCCCACGTATATTAAATCAAGTACAGCCCGGTTTAAATTGATATACACACTCGATTCTGTGGCTATTTAAATTCTATGACATATTAAAGTCATGACATATTAACATATTAAAGTCGTTACTAAGCATATCAAAGTGATTTAAACAATTTTTAAAGCGACTATTATATTGTGCTTAAACTGAATACTGGAGATACTATTCAGTATCCATCATCAGTAGAGCAAAAATGATCAAGGACAATGGACTAAGCATAATTAATTTAATTTTCATCTACTTTGCTGTGTCTCAGTACAAAAACTATGTATATGTCCGGAAGCTAAATCATCACTCTTGCAAGATTTTTGGTGCATAATCCAGTTCAGTTTTGATAAGCCATATCTATAAGACCTTTGAAAATAATATTGAAAGTAAATGATACGAACTTCAGAATTTTTAATAAAAGTTAATAGAAATAAGTTTGCACATTCAAGAAAAGGAAGATTCAATAGATTCAGCACATAACACAAAGGAAATATACAAATATTTTTTTTCCTTTACAAAGGATTCGTTAAAATGTATCGAATCAAGATTTGATAATTCGAGAAGAGTTTTCACATTTGCGTTGAACTGCAATCTAGCAAATCCAGCAAGATCGCAAATTGTCAATATATTTATTTGCACTACATAGTAGCAAGTCGTCGCTAACATTTTAGAGCTAATGTTATTTCTAGCACTAATCTGAGTTAATTATTATTTAACCTATTATTTATTTTCAATCATATTTATTAATTTTTTTTCATAATTTTGGAATTAAATCCTTCTTTTATATGCTACGAATTCACTCTTATATATGTAAGAGGGGATTGTATGTGTATACCACCATCAGTGTTTATCTGATGCATTTATTTTTATTTTTATTCAATATTTATTATAATATTATTTTAGTTTTAATTTAAATTTCATATTTATCAAAGTTTGAAGATTAAAGTTAATGAAACTTATATTTTGTCTCTATATACCCAGTGCTTTGCTCTTAACATATACTTTTTAAATACTTCAGGATTTTCCTATTTATTTATTTCAATATTATATATTACAAACACGATAAGTCGATGAATATGCCACCAATTAATTACTTAAAAACCAAAATTGTTAATATATAAAATATTTATTTTTTAATTAATTATCTTTTTATATATAATTCAATAAACAGCAATATCAATGCTCTCACATGAAAATAAGTAATTATGAAAAAATGTAAACACTTACATATAAATTGAATAATTTATTTAAATAATTAAAACAAAACAAAAATATAAATATATATATAAAAAAAAATATTAAAATAATAATAACTAAATTAATTAACCTATTGAATGGTATTTCCAAAAGACCATTTGTAAACGTGTTGTGCTTTTTCTAGATTTTTAAAAATATATTAGTACGAAAAAAGATTTAAAAAAAATTAAACAAAAATTATTGTATTGTTTTTTTTTAATTGAAACAAAAATTATATATATATATAAATATAACATAAAACCTTTTGTACGTGCACTAATAATAACTAAATTTATATAGAGTAGAAAAAACATATAAAAATTAACTTTATAATACAAACTATTTGTTACAAAATCTTGCTTTATATGACCACGGAAATTTTTATTTTGTTTTATTTTTTAATTGATTAAAATTTAAAATAGATTTACTAATTCACATTTTAAAAATGTAAAGCATTTAAACGTCAAAGCATTTATATGCAATAATATTACTACACACACACCAACCTTTTATAGCATACGATAAGATTTATTTTAGATAAAAGAAGTTTTGAATTAAAAGTGCATAGCAGACAAATAGAGCAGATCAAATTATAATCTAAAATAAAAATAGATCTTGTGTAAAATATACCATTACGAAGGAATTTTATTGCATGCTACAAAAATTATACTATTTAAAAGTCTTCAAATAATTACATACAACAATACTACCTGTCTTTTAAAAATTTCATGCAACAGAATTTGTTGTATGCTACAAAAATGTATTACAAACAAAATGATCCTAGGAGGGACTCGAATGGACTATAAGGATAATTTTAGGTAGCTATCATAACGACTCCCCTTCCCAATTTTTTTGTATTTTATATTTTTTATTTATTTTTTTTTATTTATTTTATTTTATTTTTTTTTTGAAGATGTGACCGCCAAATAAGTGCGAACAAATTAGACATGCTTACTACTATTCATAAGATTAAACACTAAGATTCGTAGAATTTCTCTTACCTATCAAAAAGCACTTTATCATATAAAGATATCATCATGCGTGACGTTTGTTCATAAAAAATATGAAGGTTTAAGGGTCATTTTTTCACGAAGTGTTTTCGTTTTCTATATGTTCATTAGACATACATATGGCAAGATACTTTACCAAATACTAAGTATTTTACCTGGTTTTTTTATTTGATGTCACGCATTATATTCTAACGTAAGCACGACGAGGAATACAAGGTCTAACGTCGATATCATTTTATTATTATTATGTTTATATTTAACATCTTTATATATACATGTTACATACAATGTTATTTATAAAAAAAATTTAAATTTTATCATTTAAAAACGAATTTAATATATATTAGTAGAACTGATTGTATTGTCTGTATTGATTTAAAAATATTTTAATATTCACTTTTTTAAATCATTTTCAATTTGTTATCAATTTTCTTCTAAAATGAATTATTTTGAATTAATTAAAAATCAAGATACACACTTTTAATTCTGGCAACTATAAAATCTTTTATTAATATTTTCTAATTAATAAACATAATACATATTTATTATATTTAATTATTTATATAGTTTTCTACTATATTTTAATTCTACTAAAATTTTAATTCGCAAATATTTAAATGAAAAAATTATTTTAATATCTTTAAAATCAGTTTAATACTTATAAATAAACATTAATAAATGTAACTTCAATTTTAAACTCTGCACTAATAATTTCTACAGAACTACAGAATTACAGAATTTTTAGTTAAATTGTACCAAATAGTTTGTATTTTAAAAATAAACAAAAATAAAAATATATATATATATAAAATTTTGCTGTGATGTATGTTATATTATATTAAAAAATTAACACAAACTAACGCAATTAAAGCAAAAAAAAAAAACGTAAAAAAAGTTAATGTATACATATATATATACATATATGTATACATACATATATAATATTATGAAACCCAATTTAAGAATAATATATTAAATAATTAATTACATATTTTATGCATGAAAGTAAAACACTTTATATTTGCCTACATTAACTTTTAATAATTCAAATTTTTTTATATCTAGCGTTTATATCTATTATTATTTAGAAAACTTTATGTAGCCGTCATATATGTATAACTAAAAATAATTACTATTATAATTTTTTCTGCATTATATTAGCAAAAAAAGTTGTTTTTGGTGTAAGAGTTTGTTAAAAAATAATATAAATAAATTAAAAATTATTTTATACCAAAATTATAATATTAAAATAAAGATATTGTGAAATTAGCTTTTTGTTTTTATCTGACTAATCAAGCAAAAAAATAAAAAAATTAAAAATTGGCTAAATTATTAAAATTAACAAATAATGAATTTAATAAACATAATAGCAATATTTTCAATAAAATCTAAAACTAGCATTTTAACTGCATAAAAGAAAGTAAAACTCTTTGGAAAAAAAAGAATAAAATTTAGATTCGGATAAATAAGCTCTTTTATAGTAAATATTGAAATTCTCTCTCTTTTTCACATATAATCTACCAATCACACATATATAGCATATATATTTCTATATTTCACTACAATTAATAAGAGTGAAGAATTTAATAAATGTTTTAGTTTTTGCTGTGTTTAAATTATATTTCATGTATACAAAAAATAAAAAAAAATTAATAAAATAATTTAACTTTAAACTTTAATTGTTGTGGTTTATGCTTTAAAATTCAATTAATGTATGAAAATAAAAAAGTTTATCACGTTAAGTTATATATTCTGAATAAAAAGTATTTTTTAACCTAATCAATAAATGTGAGATAATTATTTTCAATATGCAAATTGTTCACTTATTGCTCTTTGAATTGTGGAAATGAAAAAGGATACAGTGTCTAATGATAGAGGAAATTGTTATATATGTCCTATATATACGACAATACAATCGGCCAATAGGGATTGACGGTATAACCGACTGTCGTTAGTATGAACGATTTTTCACAGATGGAATGTTGCGGAAAGATATAAAATACCTTCAATTACTGGGAAATGCACGAAAATGCAAATTATTTTATTATTCGTCAAAAAAAATTCGTTTACTCGTCAGCAAGTAAGCTTACAAATAGCATCCTTAATATTCATTTTTTTAAAAATTTTTCAAATGTTGCTTTTTTATTTGTTTGAAAACTTCTAGTCTTTTTTACTGACAAAAATATTGTCAATAAAAAATAATTTTTTTTACCCCACATTCACTTTATTTCTTCTCTTCTTTAACCTTACTGTTTTTTTTCATTTGCACAAAAGTGAAAAAGTGAAGTAAAAATTGGTATTAATTTTAGCGTACGGGAACGCATCCGCTATTATTAATATCAGATAATTAACTCTCATTCTTTCCTTTTATTTAAAAATAAATTATATACCTAAAAATCATTAGCTATGCATATATATTAATAATAAATTTACTCAATAATAAGAAATACATAATTTTCTTATATAGAATGTGTATCTAGTCAATTTGTTACAAAAACTTTTATATTTTGTATTTCTAATCATTTTAATTATTGTTGGCAGTACCGTGTAATAATGTATGTATGCTGCCTAAAACTGGGAAATTCATTAAGAAGGCACAACAAGAAAATATCCCTCGCAAATGACTTAAAATTTTAAGCAGAAATGGGATTTTATGTAAATTAAAATGTGCATGGTTACACAAAAGCACATTTTATCAAATATTCATTTTGCAGAGAAAAGTATGTACATTTTAAAATTAAATCTGTGTATTCGTATTAATTTCTTGATAATAATATGCTTGAAGTAATTAGTAAAATTGATTATAATTATAGGAACTGTTATCACTTCTATTATTAAGAATTTCGATAATTTCCGTTGTACAGAAATAACCATAAAATATTAGCCCAACAATTTTTAAAGGCCTTACAATTTGGATTTTCCAAATAATGTAGGTACAAACGAGTATAAATGTTTGAAATTGTATTTCCTTGAAATCATTAAGCATAATGCGATTAATTGTAAAAACGATATGTATAAGTTTTTATCTCAACATCCCTTAAAATTAAGTCTACCTGCGTTTTATGTGAACTAGAACTCATATTCAACGTTCAGCTATTTCAAAAATAGTGGTATATTATTACACAAAATTTGAATTAAAACACAACGAGTAGCATTTTTTGTGTGTAAAATTCATTTAAATGCGCTAGTTTCGGAACTGGGAATTTTAGTCATGGTAAGAGGTTCGAAGAAAGCGTTTAGACGCGCAGCATTAATAACACACAAGAGAAGAAGAAAGCTGAAGGCATAAGAAATAGAAAATTTATTGATTGTGAATATTTCTGCGTCAAATTAATTGAAAGAAAATTTAATCGTAATTTATCTGTTATAATTATTATTAATTAATTATAATTTTAGTGATAAAGTAATTATATTATCAATAAAGTGTTTTAATTTAATTAAGTGTAAAAAAAGTACAACGAGTGAAGCTATAATACCACAAAAGCAAAAGAGCAATAAAACGTTGAAATAATTTTCAATAAAAATTTTCAACGTTTTAGTACAAAATCAACAATAGCAATAGCAAACGAGTTCAACAAGGCGTCCATAATAGAAAAATCAGTTTAAAGTGAATAAAAAAGAAACTATATAAAGAAAAAAAATTAGTGACGTCGCTTAAAATATTTCAAAATATTTTCAACATCCTAAAAAACAAATATTGAAATTTTTTGTGCTATAAGAAATTTTACAAAACTTGTGGGATTAAAGTAGTTCAGTTCAGAAAAAGAGAGACGAAAGAGTGCAGCCTTGTGATTTATATTAAAATATAATTAAACAATTAACAAAAAACAGAAAAAATTTCCCCATTATAAAAAAAAATAAAATTATCGCTCCTCGTCAACTTCTTCATAGTTTGCGTGTGTGTTGGTGCCTGATTGTAATTTGTGTAAATATACGAAAAAATTCCCATCTACATATGTCGACGGTGAATATTTTCTCGTTAACACAAAAAAGCAATAAAAAAAGCAAAACACTTTAAAAACATCATCATCTACTTCACAAAACAATAAAAATAAAACAGTTTCCTACTCTGGGAATTATTACAATTGCTGGATGTACGAAAGGAGAATTGTGACATAAAAACAACAACAATACTGTGAAGCAGTTGCAGGGCTTAAAAATTAAAAAGTAAGTATTGTTAAAATTATATGTAGATATGTGTTTTTATTTAACACAAAAAGCAAACATACAGTGTTGGCTTTTAACAAACTATGTACGAAACTTGGCAACGCAGCATTTTCAGATTTGCCTAAAATATTATTTGAATAAAACTTTGAAAAATTAAAATAATGAACACTGAATTTTTTCAGTATTTTAAGAAAAAATTTTAAAAATAAGTACTTTTGAACTTTTAAACGAAAATGGTAAAAATATGTTTACCTCATTTTCGATTTTACTTTTTATAACAAATATTCTTTGCTTGCAATATGTATGTACAAATTTTCCAAATTACTTTTTCAAATATACTTTAGTTTTTAAATCACATAAAAATTTGTATATTTAAATGTGAAAAGCTTGACTGAAGTTTGTCAACTGAGGTGTTTCAATTTTAGCAAAGATTAACTAATAGAGACACTCAAAAAAGTTAAGTTTTAATATTCTTTTTTTTTTGTTTGTTTTTCAAAAATGGTTAATTCTAAAATTGTTCTGTTAATAATAATTAAACTAAACTACTGTTTATATTATAAATTGTTGCTGTTGATCAGGAATTTATTTTATTTAAAATTTTTTAGTTAACAAGTTTAAAATCTTATTTTAAAATTTTTAGTTAACAAGTTTAAAATCTTATTTTCCTTTTTTCTTGTTTATGTTCTTTCAAAATAGGAAGACATCTGTTCCTACAGCCATATTTATTATTGCTATTGTGTTTACATATTCAAACTTCTTTTGTTTTTATCCATTATTTATAGACTCTATCGCATTAGCAATTACAATCAGCATAAACGTTATCTAAATGCTGATTAAATACTGATCCCGTGATTATGTTCAACTTTTGCTGTGTGAATAGACTATTATTAGGACACAAATCAGTTGACATTTGCATCATATTTTATTGATTTTATAATTTTAAATCTTTGTAAGCATTATTTAAAACTTCTGTAAAAAGGTATCTAAACAAAAAGCTAGTAACTATTAATAGATATTAAAAAATTCCTCAACATTATATCTGTTTTAATTACTATATATTTAATAATTAAATCAGACATTGTAGATGTTAGATGTAAAGAAGTTAAAAAAAAATCGTACATATCAAACGTTTAGCATTATTAAAATTTTAATATCCTTCATACGTACTTTTTACAATAAAATTATTGTTTCATACATTTTTGTTAGATATATTTTAAAAGGCATTTTTTTAAAGTAACATTCTGTTAGCTAGAATTAGTTTAATGTATACATTTGAGTTTGAGGGCAACTGTTTTTAGAAACAGAAGCAAGCAAAAAACATTCATAATGATGTTTTCTGCACGAGCTTTTTTAACAAACTAAAAATAAAAATAGTAAACTATTTCTATATACGATTCGAAATTATATTGGAATTTCAGTATTAGAAATAGTAAACTATCTCTTGTAAATAAAATTATTAAAAATTTTAAATTTTGAGAAATTTTAAATAATTGATTTGTAACATTACTGTTATTAATTCGCTACGAAATTATAACTTTTTAATGTCTGCAAATGGTGACTTAATAAGTTATACTATTCATATTATAATGAATAGTAAATGTCACATATAAATGTTGTCTTTTGTATATTTTTTAAATGGAAAGTATTATATAAAAAATTCTTAACACAAATTAATTAAATTAAATAACTTACGCACATTACATCATTTAAGAAGAGCTCATAAAATTGAAAAATACGCATGCGACGGGATAGTATTTAAGCTCTAGAAATCTTTAATTTTCAAAATAATACGAACATGCCTTAAATATTAATATTTTCATGTTTAAATGTTGTTATTATAATATATTATATTATAATGATAATAATAATACTGTTCAAATATAAAAAAATTTTTTATACTGATAATGTAGTTCAAAATATAATATAAAATATAGTATAATATAATATAATATAATATAATATAATATAATATAATATAATATAATATAATATAATATAATATATATAATTTATTTAAATAATAAAAAATAAATATAATATTAATTATTAAAAATATAGTATATATATATATACAATATTATATAATATATAATATAATATATAATATTATAATAATATAAATAATATATAATATTATAATAATATATAATAATATATAATATATGTATATATAATATATATATAATATTATAATATTATAATATAATATATATATTATAATAATATATAATATATATATAAATTATAATAATATATAATATAATATATAATATTATAAAATAATAATATAATATATAATATTATAATAATATATAATATAATATATAATATTATAATAATATATAATATAATATATAATATTATAATAATAATTATATTATATATAATAATATATATTGAATATAATATAATATTAATATTATAATATAGTAAAAATATAATATAAAATATAGTATAATATATATAATATAATATAATATAATATAATATAATATAATATAAAATATAATATATATGTACATATGTACAATTTATTTAAATAACAAAAAAACTGAAACACAACTCTTGAATTATTATCAAAAATAGGTTTGTATGTATATGTATTACAGTTATATATAGAAGATTTAAAATTAAAGCTATTTTTTTAAAAAGGAGCAATTAAGTAGATAATATTAAACGATAATTACTTATATATTAACTGCAATTTTACTTACTAAATTTACTAAATATTTATTTTGTTTCGTTTTTTTTCTTTTATGTTCTCAACTACACTTTGGTTTGATGTGTAACAGGACCATAATTGTAAATACACCAAAAATCACAAGAGGAATCACAAGAGAAGAAAAGAACCAGCGGAGAATAAAATAAGTAAGCGAATAAAAAATTAGCTGAACAGCTTTTAAGAAAAGATAAATCAACAGACTGATTAACAATATAAAAATTAAATTGTATTTAATTAAAAAGTTATATATATGTATATTGTAATACATAATATAAACAAAATATAATTATATATAATTGTAAATAAGAAAGTCTATATCAGGAGAGAGAAGAGTAGTAAATATTTTTATTTAATACAAAAAGAACAACAACAAGAAGAAGGAAAGGAGTGCTGTAAAGAAAAGCAAAGCAAAGTAAAGGAAAAAGTTCAGGTGTAAGGGAGAGAGAAGTGTGTGCGTGCTAAAAAAGAAGGTGTAAATCCAAACAAATTAGACGTAGCCGCCATATTTTTCTGTCATTCTGTCGAATTGAAGGAGAATCGAATTAGCAACAGAAAGAAGAAAGAATAGAGAGTAAACAATCCCCAAAATTAATTTTAAACAAAACGTTGATTTTATTGTGTGATATTTAAAAACTAAGGTATAATTTAAATTTAAAATATAACAAATAAGTATAAATACGCAGAAATAAGAACGAGCAAAGTGAAGATAAAAGCGGAAGTGTAGAAGTGAAGAGCAGTATAGTATATTGTTTCAGCTGTAATATTAAACTTTTACTATGACTTACTCGCACAAAAGCGTTGGTAATCATATAATGACACCCGCTACAATAGCAACAACTACAGCACGTACGAAAAATGTTTCGAATGGCGGCAGCGGTGGTGGCGATTATAAGAATCGCACCTTATCTCCAACAACACCACCACCAATATGTGCACATTCCAACAGTATTGCCAGCAGTACAAATCATAGTCATCACGTCCTAAGTACATCACCCCCAGGCTTTATGTCTTCGGGCGCATCCGTTTCATCAAACTGTAGTAGCAGTTCTAATACATCATCTCTCGGTTCCAATGGTAATGGTAGTGGCGGTGGTTTTTATGCAACACGTTGCCGTATACGCAACAATGGTCAACATCCACCACAACGCCAATCTCCACAACAATTGTTTAGTGCAGGTGCTGGTAGTTATAATAATAAGTATAACTATCAACAACGGCAATCTAGTGGCGGTATTCTTATTAGCGGTAGCGCTCAAAAACACCCACGTGACGTGTCTAAGTCACCAAGCTCTCAGACACGACGTCAATCGCCCGCTGTGATTTTAGGTAGCGGTGCTAGTATAATATGCAGCAGTGGTGGCGGTTCTGGACGTAAATACCGTGCTAAATTAACAACCACTAACCAAAATCCGCTAACTAGTGCTGCAAGCGGAGGTAAGATCTCACCCACCCATCCACTCATACCCACCGCTTTAACGCATTTCGCTGGCAGCAAATGTTTTGATGCGCCATCACCAACTGCGCTACCAAAGCCACCGCAGCACTGGACGCTGATCGAGGCAAAAATCGGAGAGAAGGTCAACAGCTGCGCTGGTCCTGGCCTACATAGTGTGACCAATGCACGTAAACCAACTATGCATGCAGTAGATGCGCATACATACGGTGGCCATGTGGTGAAAACCTCAAAAAGGAATCTACTCGACGACTTCGATACGCACAATTTGAAATTGTTGCTCAATGTGCATTCGTAACCGCCATGTCGATCGATACATACATCATGTCATATCTGTCACGTCACGTCACGTCACGTCACATACATTTGCAACACTAATACAACAACAACATCAAACAATAATTTTTTTTTTTAACTTCGAACATGAAATTTATAAATTGAAATAAAAAATACAAAAGAATAATGATAATAAGCAAAAAAGGAAAAATTAATATAAAAATTATTTAAAAAAAAAGGTAAAACTCAAACAAAAAACGAAATAATCAACGGAATTGTGTTGCTTGCTGCTAACAACAACCAACCGAGAAATCAAAATGGAAGCAACAAAAACAAATTCAAAAACAAAAACAAAACAAACAATGCTTGTGATCTCAAGTATATCTTAAATAAATATAAAATAAATTTTTTTTAAATAATTGAAAACAAGAACAATAATAAAAATAATAAAAACAAATATTCATAAAATCCACGAAGTAAGAAACAATGTTAAAATGCCAAAAAATGCAAAATTCATGGATTTTTTTTTTGATAAAACAACCACAAAACAAAATAATAAGTTTTAAAAAATAAATTAATTATAGGAAAAAAATATAACAACTTTAAATGTAAAAATAATATAAATATAAAAGCAAAAACTTCAAAAATTACTTAATACGAAAAATGCTCACAATAAACACGCCTACAATAATAAACCAAACCTTCAAATATGCCATAGACTTGCTAAACTGACAACAACAAATACGAGCAACTGAAAAATTCAAAATTTTTTTATAATTATCAAATAACAAAGTGATATTATATATATATATATATATATATATATATATATATAATATATATATATATAAATAAATAATATAAAACTGAAATATAATAATAATAATGTATATGTGCATACATAAAAACATAAAATAAAAAGAGAAAACATTTATTTAACTTTATTTTTCATGCGTGTTGATTTGAAATTAATTTAATAAAATAATATTAATTTAAATTTGTATAATAAATATATTTATAAACAATAAAAGCCCACCAAAAATTAAAACATATATATATATATAATAAAATTAAACTTTAAAATGTTATATATTTTATAAAATTAAATATAAAACAACAAGGATTACCGCGCGCGACGCCTGTAAGCAATTTGAAACGAAAGAGGCGAAAGAGAGAGACCAAGAGAGTTTTAAGCGGACGTCGTTGTTGTTGTTGTTGAGACTGCAAAAATTAGTAATACTAACGCATAATATTTATAGTTAAAAACGGGGTGCAAGAAGCAAATAAAGACAGCAACAGTACAGTACAAATAGAAAACACCAACAGCAATAAATTCAATTTTTTTTACTTAAATTCTGAGGAGTAAAATACATATATTATTTGTCAATTATACAAACACAAACACATTTAATTACAATTATTTGAAATGGAAAAAAGGCGGGAAGGAGTGTATGCAAACATTTAAATATTTAGAAAATGTACAAACAATGTTTGTTGACGTCGCAAATTATATGTGCAAAAAAAAAGAAACAGGAATTACAATTTAAATACTCTGGAAAACTTTGCAACTTAAGTCATATAAAATTATATATATATATATATAAAATATATGTATATGTAACTAATTGGCACAGTATTTATTTACTGTAAATTTGAAAAGATACTTTATTAGATACAATTAGTATCGTAATTATTAATAATCTTGGAAAAAAAATTGTACCAGATATTGCATCTAACTTCCTTCCTACTATATACCAAACTCACATCTTCTTAAGTTTCACTTTTATCTTCGCTTTGGTCATTTTAATATTTTAACATAATAATATTCGAAATTGTAAAGTTTTTTATATTTTATTTGCTCACAATGTGTAATAAAGTTTAGGTAAAAAGTTACTTTTATTTAAATGCTTTAAAATCTTATGTAAAATTGTTTTAGTGAAAAAACAATAATGTATGTATTTATTTTTTAATTTTTTTGAACAAAAAGACTTGCCAATTAATTAAAAAATAAAAAGTTTGTATCTAAAAATTAATTATAACTAAGAATATTGTAAAATATTTTAATAGTTTCAAACAGAATAATATTTATATTACTAATAAAAACATTATGTGAAAAAAATGCTTTTAAGTTTTGTTCAATAATTGTTTTAAACAGTGTTGAATAAAATAAAAAATTGTAAAAATTAATTTATATTACATATAAAATTGTCCAAATTATAATTAATATAAAACAGAGCAAACTAAAAGATTTAAATACACTAAAGAAGTATTTTATTTAATTCGCATATATTTTATTTGTGCTATGTTCATTGTAAATTATTGTAATAAATTAATATTTTTGTATAATTTAATTACTTAAAAAATATAATATATACATAATTCATAATATGAATTTTACTTCTATTTTGTGCAAAAATATTTTTTCAAATGTAGAATCTATATACACTTGAACCCAGTACCTTGTTTTTATTTTAATTTTTTATTGATATTGTTTTAAGCCATAAATGATAATAATTTATTGTTGAAAGTAAAAATCAATTCAATCAAATATTTTATTTAAACACAAAAGAAAAAAATCAAAAACAAAAACAAAAAACGAAGAAACAAATTTTAATTATTTAATTAAATTTTAATAAATATATATGTATATATTAAAACTATTTTATTTATTACACACAAAAAGAAAGACTTGTAGCAGCACTAAGATAAAAATTTCGTACTACTGTTGCTAATTAAAAATTGTGAATTCAGTATATAAACAACAACAACAAACATAAATTTGTTGTTACAAAATATGTTTTATAAAATGATATAGAATGTTTTTGGTTTAATTTTAAAAATATGATAATATGAAGAGTTATTGTTGAAGCCAAAAAGAAAGAAATGAAAGATCGAAATCCTATTAACTAAACCAACTAAATACTACGCACCTATTTGTTAGCAAATAAAAATTGTGACTTTTTATATATTAAACTTTTAGCTATATATAAAGTATATATATTATATATACTTTAAAGTTGTCTTAACTACTTTTCTTTTAAATAATTTCTTTTTCGAAACTTCATTGTTTTGAAAATGAATACGTGATATTAAGTATGCAATCAAAACAAATCCTTAAAAGTATATAAAAAATAACGAGCAGTGCTCTTTTTTTTTTTATTATAATTATTATTATTATTATTTTATTATTGAAAAACGAAGAAACCAAAACAAATAAAAGCTTGAATTTTGCATTTTTTAGATAATAATTATTTTATTTTATTTCAATTTTTTTTTTAACTAAACATTTCACATTGGAAAACGACAAAAATTTAAAAATATTAAATACCTATTTGTTGTCTTATAAGTAATATAAATTATTTACTATAGTGAGACTTAAATAAAACTAATTTCCAATAGATTTTAATAGAGTAAATTTTATAATTAACGAAGAGTTCTCAAAACAAATGAATAAACTTGTGTGCTAAAATATACACTAAGTGTATATTAAAGCAATCAACTTATATTTTATCATCAAAGTTGAATTTGTTTACTTCATTTCTATTTTTAATAGATAAAAATATTTTTAAGATTTCAGATTTCTAAAACAGTTTAAATTAAAGATCTATAATCTTTTAAAAAAAACATGATCCATGGCATTGTCTTTCCTTAGAGACAGACTACTAAGCTCAGAGCCTACACAAAAAGACGATTGTTAACAATCGTTAATTAATTTTCATAAATTTTAACTATTTTAAGACAACAAATACGCTTTTAATAACATCAATTTAATAATTTTGTTCTAGCCTGTGTTAACATTGGCATATCTCTATTAAACATATTTTAAAAGAATAGTTTGAATTTTGTTTTTCAATTGAATATAGAGTTTTATTTCTACCAAAAAATCTTATTTATAAATTTAAAAAAACTGCAATTTTTGTATGTTAACTTGTAAACATTTTTAATTAGTTCTTAATGTAAAATTTTATATTAAAAATTTTGTAAGAAATATTCTATTAAAGAAAGCTTTAACAAAGACTTTATTATATATCAAAAACAAAAATTCAAATAATTGTTTAAAATTAAAAAAAAATTAAAAATCATAAAACACAAACCATGTGTATGCATAAATTATATATGCAAATATATACATACACATATACAAAGAGAAGTACAAAAGCATATATCTAGAATTAAGAGTATATACAATTTATATGCTCGAATATTTATATATACTTTTATTTTATTATAACTTTTCGAAATTTTAGATATTTAAATTAAAACCCAAAAAACCAAAACAAAAAAAAATTGTAAAAGTATAAAAAATTTCAAAAGAATCCATGTGTTTGTATATATTATGCGTAATATAAGACTTATGCATTTTAATAAAAAAAAGTATACTCTTCCAAATGCGATAATTTGTGAATAAAGCGAAAAAGTAACTTCAAAGCGTTTATTTTTTACTTTATATTAATATTTGAATAAATTTTATTTATATTTAAAATTTTAATTATTTATTTTTTAAATACAATTTTTAAAAAAATTTTAGTGAAACTTTTTTATTTTTTTTTCTAATTATATTGAATTGAAATGAAGGTCTTTTTCGCTTTGTTTTACAGCCTTTTGAAGCATTTCCTTTCAATAAATAAAAATTGCAATTTTGTTGTGATAATAAAAATAATATTTATATATAACAATCTTCATAAAAATGAGATAAATATTATATATACTATTTTTTATTTTTTCATTTTGTTTTTTGTAGCTTTATTTTATTATTTTATTATTTTTATTTGTAATGTACCATGAATTCCATGAAAGCGAATGTATTATTGAAAACGATTTAATGTTTACCCGAAAAAATTAGAAAAATGTTGATAAAAAAATCTTTTTTATTGTATTATTTTAAAATATAATAAAAAAAAACAAAAAAATTGTAAAATTAAAAATTTAAACTAAAACCTTTTATACAATATCAGTAAACAAAACACTCATATACATTAATATCAGTTGATTTTATTTTTTTTTTATGTTAAAAAACTAAATTCATAAAAACAAAAAACAGTAAAATTGTCTTATAAACAAAATTATGAAACTATCCCCAAAAATAGAAAACTGATGATCCAAATAAAAAAGATTGTGTAAGGCTTTTGTTAAAATTGTAATTTTACAAAAGTTTTTATGCAATTGACCGCAAAAACAAATATTTCGTTTTA